GAAGTGATAATTTCTTCATTGTGACATCACATAGTAACAACGATACTTTGAGGTAAGAAGTGATAATTTCTTTATTGTGACATCACATAGTAACAACGATACTTTGAAGTAAGATAGATATCATTTCTTTATTGTGATGTAACATAGTAACAGCGATACGTTGAGGTAAGAAGTGATAATTTCTTTATTGTAAAGTTACATAGAAATAGTGGTATGTAGAAGTAAGATGGTTAAAAGTCTTCTTTTTTTTGTAACATAGCAACAGCAGCACGTTGAAGTGAAATGATTATAGCGTCTTTCTTTTTATGTAACGTAGCAACAGTAGTTATGATTGTTGTACAGAAAAACTTGCGCAGTAGTTTTGCAAAGTAGTATAAATATATATACCTTCTTCAGGCAGCGTGTGCAAGCATTATCTACAATGAAGTTATAAAAACTGATCCCATCAAAGCTAGAACCCATTAGCGGTGAGTTTATCGATGAATAGAATAGTCTCCAGAAGTAATGGAAAGGTGAAATGAAAGAATAAAAGCGAAAATTCACGGAGAGGACAAACAACCAAGAGAGATGCTAACTGGAATATATTTTAGGGAATTTTTGAAAGAAAAGCGCGACAAAAATCAAAAATAAGAATTACAAGATATATAAAAAAATCTTCAAATCTGAAAAAATAGCATAACTAAGAAAAATTCATAATTATCATAGGAATTAAAACAATATTATTCTTTATAACATATTTTTTATTTCTAAATATGATGTTAAATCTTTTCTGAAGTACAAGTTTTTTTCTAACTTTCATCGTCGCAAATTCTAAATTCTTCAGGATACATAACAAATTCTGAAAAACGCACAATTTAAGTCATATATAGAAACGACAGCAATAAACATCTAATCCTTAAGAAATTCGAAAGCCAAAAAGTTGGATATCAATTACTTTTTCATCTGGATTTTTAGTGTAGTTTTTGTATATTGATTAGTTATATTCAGTCTGTACTTAAGAAAACATGTAAGCTCTAAGAAGTCTAATTTTAGGGAAGCAGCATTTTTATTCGATCTAAAATAATATAGTTGTTCTAATATATCCTAGGTGAAACAGGAAAAGTATACAAAGAATTAACTAATATTAACATTTTTCCATTACACCTTTCGTTCAATTCTTTTCTATCTAGTTATATATATTATCTATCAATATGTTCTTAAGTATGTATGTATCTATCTAGATTGCTTATATTCAGTCTTTTTTTTTCGTATGAATATTACATCGAGTTCATTTATTTTTCTAATCAGATGATACATGTTTGCAATCTAAATCAGCTTTTTTGGGGAGGAATTATAATAATTGTTTTAGGATTTTAGTAACGTACATGGGCATCAGCAAGAAGCATATATCTTTCTTTATTCATTCAGTATATATGTATATATATGATGTTTCTTTAGACTTTGCCCTCTCCCCCTGGGAGAAAGTTCTATGGACCCCCATGGTAACACACACACACACATACAGTATATGTGTATATATATGCTAAATAGGTTCACAGTCAATGACTTTCACTTCTGTGGCACTTGACCATCGTAATTCATTTGAAGAACTGTTTTAGTTTATTGACTAAAGTCGTCATTATCAGCTTGAGATTTTTAAATCATAATTAAATTACTTCTGCAAATAGACTTATGACTTATCTAAGACATGTTTGGATAATCTTGAAACAGTATTTCATTTATAAGTAAATTCAAACTCAATTTAGCAATAAAAAAAAGAATATAAAGTGGATCTTACAAAATATTGCTAACTCGTGTGGGTTTTTTAAGAGTACAGATAAGGAATAAATGTGAAATTATGATTACTTACTTGTATAACGTGATGCGCTGCCTTATACTTCACGCAGGGATGTCGGTGCCTTTGAAACAAGCGTGCTGGTCAGTGTTTCAAGTTAAACTGAAAGTTCTCTAAGCAATAACTGCGGGCATCAGGTCTTCTTATACTCCCATCCAGGGCGCTACCGTTCATAAATGGTGGCGCCCTCCAGCAGCTAAGCTGAAATTCAACACCCACACAATAAGTGTGGGCGACATTAGCCTAAATAACGTGTATGGTAGTGTGTGGTGGTATTTTGACCACTAGAAACAGAAGTTGTGATTTCAGCTACCAATAAAAGAAATAATTAATCTTTGGATCAACCCCTACAAGTGCGGACAGCTGGGAAACAAATATCGTAAGAACACCACTTTTTCAATTCATCACACCGTAAATACGTGTAATAGAAACTTCTTTTGTTTCCATTATAAACTTCCTGATTTCTGCTTTTTTTCTTTTTCTACAGTTTTCAGAAGATGTAAAATATGCTTGATATAACATGATCAAGTAAATTTTCTAACAATTAAATTATTAAAAAAACATATATGAGGAACTAACGAACATATATATAATTATACATTTAATGGTTCATCGAGGTTGTTTTTATTGTGAACAATCACCAGTAGCTGTTATAAAGATAAACAAAGAGCACTGAACAAAATAATTATAGTTCTAAAATTTTATAATAACTTATACAGCCTAAAATAATATTATGACACCACACACTTTGCACTTCATTAGTGATGGTTTAGTTTATCTGTGTGCATGATGTTAATCATGAGGTTTCTTACAAACACAATGTAAGTGAAGTTTCTGATCACGGTAAATCTACGATCAGTATTATTTGAGTAACGGATGACTTTGGTTTATAATGGATTAGTTACAGGATATTACAACGTGAAAACCTGTAATGTAATAATACTAACAACTAACTTGTAGACATCACTTCTTACCATATCAGATCTTGATAGGCTGGAATACGTTTTGCGGTTCATTTCGTCTGGCAGCATACTTTCATTTCATCTTTACCGTAACCTGACCCTCTCTGTGCATAGCACATTTAAACTGGGGGGTTGTAACCCATAAAGTAGTAGGATTATAACAACTATTGATATCAGTGTTTGTGTAAATCTGATGTTATCTATTATCTAGCTAATATCACATTACCTATATATCAGGTATTTTCGATTACCTGATAATCGACTGCTAATCCCTGCCAAACAGGCATGTTATGTACACGTATAAAGCTGTACTTGTAGGGATTTCAATTGCGATTTTCAACACGTTGGTAAAACAGAATAGCCGTCCGTCATTTTGAGATAATAGCAAGAGGGAAGGCAACGGACCAGCAGCGCCCGCCGTAACAAGGGCCTTTTCCGGCTTTACCTGAGCCGAATAACGAAATCAACTATCACTTTTATAACGCACCCACAGCTGAAAGTGCAGGACGTGTTTAGGCATCATGTCTCGAACCTCGGACCCTTCGACACACTAACCACTAAGCTACGCCTACAGGTTTTTCTAATGCTTTAATGTGGTCTAAACTAATAACCTCGCGTCGTGTGCTGCTAGGAGGAGTATTAAAGTTACCGATGTAGTTTAATAACATAAACTAGTCACATTCACAAAGTTATATGACACTACTTCTAGAATAAGACCCGAGAAAAAATATTTTTAAAGTTAAAGGAAAACCAAAAGTTAATAAAATGAAATTGCTTTCATACCACAAAACGCAGTTCTCAAAATACTCAACTAGATGGAAGAAGTCGCCAGTATTCTTTTCTCTGAACTTTAGTTTAATTCTCCTAACGATTGAATAAATTGCCTTTCATGAAAAATATTTGTAAGCTGTCTTGTATCCTCCTGGTAACTATGATTCTAGAAGTCTACTTTAGAAAGTATTAATTTTTTTCATGCACATAATATTTTGCTCTCGAGACAAAGAACAAAAGTCAACAGTTCGACGTTAAACCTTAAAAACACAAATAATTCACAGACATATCCCTATCCTGGTAGCCTTGATGGCAGAAGAAAAGACCAGTAATTTATTTTAATTTTACGTAAAATGCCATACACGGAAACACTTTTGAGTTTCGCGTTCCTTATCGATCATGCTCCTAGTTTCGCATTTTAGTTAACAATGAAATTGGACTCGTAACACATGAAACAATAATATTGTTTCAGATATAAAAGTGATATTTCTGTCAACAGTGTTAATAACACGGTTTTTGTTTTGTTTTATATGTTAGAAAGAACTATGATTTTTAAAATTCACACAAGCTTATAACTTTTGTACATAAAAAAAACATTTGTTTATTTTATTCATAAGGTTCCTATTATATTTCACCTGGTATCATCAGGTGAAATACAATAATAAAATAATCAAGAGTTTTACTATGTACAACCGATAAAAACTTGTGTGGAGTATTTCGCTTTGCTACTTTTGACAGTGCAGTAGTATACTGAATATGAAGTACACCTTGAAAGGTACAGAAAGAAAAAGTTCAGTAAATACACTTATCTTTATTTTTCTATTTGATAGCACTTTGTCAGATATGCACTTAGTAGTTTAAAGTAGATACATCGATGTTTGCTTTAAGACCATCTTTAGACTACACGCATGAGTTTAATGGAAAAAAAGAACTACAGTTGAAAGCGGTTACGTATACATAAAAACCTTCTATAAAGGTTAACGTAAAAGTCTAAATATTACATGAATATTGCGTCACAAACTGTTTTAGATATCTTAAATTAATCATCTTCGGGTAAAATACACGAAAACGTTCGGAAAAGGTTGATGTAAAAGTCTAAATATTACATGAATACTAGCAGAGACCCCGCAAAATATATGGAGTCAAATTAATATCTTTAATGCAACAGCATTTTTTTAACTACAGGATTTCTAAATAATACAAAATAATTATAATCGCAGACATCTAAATCTATAAGTCTAATTGTCTTAGGCCTAACATTAGTTTAGTCTTTATTAAGTACGGCCTATATTCGATATTGAGATAAATTACCACTGTAACTTGTATACATTTTTGCTTTACTTTAGTTAAGGCTAAGCTTTACCGTACTTAATACTATCAGTAAATAAACTTTCAATTTTATCCTTCGACTTAACGTTATACCTTTTTTAAAAAATTTGACAAGCTTTTAATATGTTGTTGTATAAAATGTCTACTAAAGTATATTTACATCAGCCTTTCCTTTACATTCGTTGAAGTGGAGTGCACGTGTATTTTCCCAAACTGTTTTTAGTCGTCTAAACTCAGTCATATCCAGATAAACCTTGACGGGATTAGGGCTTTCCACTGTTCATTAAAAAAACAAAAAAAAAACGTTTATGCATGTATTAAAACTGTCTCGTGTTTATAATACAGAATTTTACTGCACTCACTGCATACATATTAAGACTTATAGAGAGTACAGATGGCATTAATCTTAACACTAAATATACTTTACACATATTTCATGTACTTGTTTGTTTGTTGTTAAGCTCAAAGCAACACAGTGAGCTTCCTGTTTTCTGTCCACTGTAGGTATTGAAGCCCTAATTTTAGCATTATAAGCCATCAGACTTACTGCTGAGCCACCAGAGGGCTTTTTATGAACTATTATATGCTGTCTTTGTATATATACTTATGATTTCACTTTAAACGTCATTCTTCCTACAATAAAGACGTCAAAAGCAAATTTAGCCAGGAATATAATAAAAAAATACAAGTAATTAAAGATAAAATAAAACAATAACACATTTATAGTTTAATTACATAGTATTTGTAACTTTGTTGCAAACATGAACACAAACAAATAAAACTGATACCCAGCCTATAAAAATATTTAAAATTGTCAGATAATAATCCATACGTTGTAGTTTTGTTTTTAAAAAATTGTTGAAGCAGTAGGCGTAATTATATAAATGAACAAAATATAATGTTAAGAGGGGAAAATAGCGAATCGAAATAAAGAGAGAAAAACAAAACGTATACCTACGTTTTTACTTCTCACAACTATGAAAGCTGAAAATTGTTCAGAAGGTTATTTTTAAATATTTTAATCCAACAACAAAAAAACCTAGAGGACGTTTTTGAAAAAAATCAAATACTTCAAAAAAACCTATTCATTTTATAACTTACAATAAAAAAAGAGTGGTACTACCGAATTTTTTTCATTAATTCTAACCTTAAGAATAGTAATCAGCAAACTCTCGCGAATTCGTAATTGCTCCTCAGCATAATTGGAAAAGTTTGATAATTATTAGTCTGAAGTTTAGAATTAATCAGCAACATTTGACAGTACCGCTCTCTGTTTAAATTGTAAGTTATAAAGCAAACATATTTTTAATGTATTTAATTTTTTAAATCATAGATTAACCGCTTGACAATGACTCTAGTTGCATTGAAAGTTTTACACTTTCAGATATAGCTTTTAACGGGTTATAAAATAAAAGGTTCTAATTTTTGTGTTTATGTTGGAGTAAAATTAATTTTAATTTAGATTTTTATTTTTCATAACTTAATTTGAATTTAAGAGTTGAAGGTTTTATTGTGTTTATTTGTATAGAAGGTAGGTTGTAATTTTCATTTTAGTGTATGTTACTTTATGTATGTTTTAATGTTTATTTGTGGTGTAGTATAAAAATGTTTTGTTTGTTTATAGAGTGAGGTTTTAATTTTACGATATAAATGTAGTTAACATTGGAATGTGGTATAATGCATTTAGTTTGAATTATTATGTATTTATTCAATTAATACAGAGTTACATAAACGAAACAGAATATTGAATTAATATAAATATAATGAATATACTTTAAAAGAACATGAAACTGTTGAATTTGCCGTGTTTAATTCTAACTTATTTTATTAGCAGACCAGATGAATATCATTTGGCTTACCTTTTGTGTATGATGTTAATTGGGTTGAAATTAAATAGCATTAAATGTTTTTAGTAATTTTTATTTTACAATTCTTATTTTCCGCCTTAGGTTTTCCTAAAATTTTTAACTTATTCAGATATTAAGTAGTAGTTATAGATATCAAACTGCACTGAGTTTTAGAATTGTTGAAAAACTTCTTGCATATT